AAATACAATGCAAATTGTTCTCTTATTACATTATAAGGTTGAACAAATGAAATCATTTATTTTCATGCACAAATCATAGGAAGTTTTGCTCGGTTTTTATTAAGTTTTCACACTTTTTATCATAATAGCTTGACATTTTGATGAAAACTTGATGAAAAGTAAGAAAGTGCATTTTATCATAAACTATAGATCTCAAGTCCTTCTATCTAAATCAAAGGTCGAAATGAAAATTTCAGTCAGATGACAGGTTATTTTCATGCATTCTTTTCTATATTTTTCGAAGACGATAAGTTTGAAAAGGATTTCGTCCTATACATGATCGAGGAAAAAGATATCCCAACTTCTCTGTCAATTGGTGAAAGTCGCAGGTCGCTAACTATCGCCGTTATCGAGATATTGCACTTAGACCCACCCCTCTTTCATTCTGGCGCGAACATTAGTTTACGAATTCATTTGGAAATAATTCTAATTTGTACATGAAGAAAATAAGTATTAAAGCATTTAACAGTTGTATAAATATTTGTTTTGAGTTAAATATTATATTAAATTCATATTCAGTTAAATATCAAATATACTTCTTCAAATTATTGATTTTACTGACGAAAAAAGTTTTTTTTTAATACTATGACAGTCAAAGATTTGCATGGCATGGATAACATTCACAATATGCTATTAGATTTGATATTGTTTAAATGAACTCACCCAGAAATTTCTCGTCAAATATGAGAAATGAGCGTATCAGAAAAAGAAATAATCTCATTCATTCATTTATTGTCTATTTCATAATCAAATCAAAACTGCATTATGGTTTTCACTGACGAAATCAGTCAGATCCAACGAAAATATATAAATATGTAATTGTTCACATTTGATAAGCAAAGAAAAAAGAAATATATAGATATCAAATAAACATGGAATATTCATACGTTCAATTGAATGATTTACCTGATGAAATTCTTCTGATTATTTTGAAAAAATTCAACAATGTCGAATTGTTTTACTCGTTAATATGTGTCAACAAACGATTAGATAAAATTTTACATGATTTTATTTTTATAAATACTTTAACATTAATGGAATATATCTCGTATAATCGTATTTATTCATTATTTGATTCAATACTTGATCGATTTTGTTTGCCAATCTTACCTAGTTTTGAACATAAAATCAAATGGTTTCATATTGAAGGATTATCAATAAAACATATTCTTCTTTCTGGAAATTATTCGAATTTATCTGGCCTTGGTATATAATAATATTACGAAAGAGAATTCTTTACATCTTGTTACAGATAAAATATAATGTCTGGAATATATTTTCGTAGTAAAAATCATGATGATTAGTTTGACTGGATATGATTTAAATAATATTAATCTTTTATTTATATCAAACTTTATTAACTGATATGTTCAAAAATCAGATCTCATCACTTGTTATTCAAACTATTGACAAAAAATATTTCACATATGATCTCTATGCACTTATATTTACAAATATCATTACTGTTTTCCAATTTAAAATATCTAAATTTTGATCTATGTGATGTTTATTTTCAAAGAATATCATTCAACAGTGTGTGCCACCATCTGTTTTTTCCTCAACTTTGTTAGAATTACATATTCAAGCGGATTGTATTAACGATTGTGTTCATTTACTTGATAGTCGTTTCGATCAATTTCGTATTTTCCACGTTAAAATAAAATCATCGTCTTCTCGTACAATCTCAAAAATACATAGAGTAGTTTTTTAGCAATTTCTTATTTATTGAAACAAATTATTATATTTTAGGATAAACTATTAAGTCTAATATGTTTTTCATTGTCCGGTAATTTGAAAATAGACTTCTGATAAAGCATCGAATGTCAAATTTAAAAAAACCTTCGTTTGTATTTTAAATGTTCTCATGAAAAATTATTTGTTGATGGAAATGACTTGCAAGCAAACATGATTAATCATTTACCATGATTAAAGACATTGGCATTTAATATTTATTCATTTATTGATCATTATAATCAAATTGATTTATTAACAAATGAAGATATTCAAAATACAGTTAGAGAGTTTCCAAATAATCAAATTATTTCTTGTGTCGATTATTTTCCAAATAAAAAACGACGATCAAGGTTATGTTTATTCATATCCATTTATATTGACAAGTTATGAATGTATTACAAATAATTTTCCAGGTGCATTATTATTTACATATGTTCGTAAAGTATCATTATTTGATGAACATTCTTTTAAACATGAATTTTTTCTTCGAATTCAAAAATTATTTCCATTCGTGGACCATCGAACTGTAACTAATCGGAAACCACAATATAAAATATCAAACAATGGCAATCGAGATTTATCACTAATTCATTGTCATTATCTTACTGAAGTTTATGATGATTATATTGAACAATTTATACTTGATACCAAGACATTCTTATCATTGTATCTTAATCTTCATATCGATTATTAATCTATACAAAGAGTAGCATACGATTTTAAAAGAATTGAAATAAGAATTAATTGTTCAAAAAATCAATTGTGTATATTTAATAGATCATATTTTTTTTGATCTTCAAAAGATTTCAAAAAGTATTTTCTTAGTATAGCTCGTATGTGATTATTTTGAATAAATGATTGATTTTGTACATAATAAATGTATTAAAATATAGTAGACAATAGTTTTAGATTTATATTCATAAAAATAAAAATGTATAGGCTTAATAAATATTATTGACGAATATGAATAATTACACTACTAGTCATCAGAATTAGTTAAGAAAATTTATCTGCTGTTATTCTATTTTTTTACACAAAAAAAAGAAGCAAACTTTTCAAAAAACTTTCAGTGATCATTCTATAGTATCTAAGTTCTAATTGAATAGAGTAAAATTAGGTGAGACTTGACCTAATACTGTTAATGCCAGGTGAGACTTAGTCTGTGTTTCGGCTATCCATTTCATCTCTCATAATTTTGTACAATTCCTTTCAGCATTACTCTCACTTGTGCACTGCTCTTCGTCTATCTCATCTCACTCTCACTCGTCAATTATTCAATTCCTATTTCTTTTATTTTGTTTATTATTATTCGAAATTGATCTAAAGCCATCTGATGATTTTCTTAGCAAAAGTGTGAACGTTTATGATAGCTGTTCTCTACCATGATTGAAATATATTGTAAATTTCTTTCTCTAGTTTATTTTTATTTCAATGATTATTCCAAAGATTAATATTTACAAATTTGGAAAATATGAATTAAAGTTTTCTGAACGAACAAACAATTTACATGTACATAAAGATTTTATTTTTGAACAATTCAGGCACGTTGTATCATTGTTCACTAATACATGTATCTCTTCGAAAACAGCATTTTAAAAATAAGTTGTATTGAATGAATAGGATGTGGTAGAATAATATAACTAAGTAGTAGAGAGAATACGATATTGTGATTGAATTCAGTTACGAATTAAAAGAAATTCAAAAAAAGAAAAATATATCAGTCATAGTGCATTCATTGGTTCAACAATTGAATTACGAGACAGCATAGAGTACGTAAATTTTGATCGTGCTATATATTATCGCTTTAAGTTTTACAAAAAATAACGAATAAATAAAGGACTAATACTAATTAGCGTTTGTCTAATTGATGACTTGTTAGAATCGAGTTAATAAGATATGCAATCGATAGAAATCGTCGAGTTCTATCTGAAACTACCAATGATATAGCTGGAATCGGCTTCAATGCGAATCGTGCTGAAAAATATTCAAATCCTGACCTCAGATATCCTACGTTCAGCAAAATTCGATCGTATTCGTATGGATTACATCATAAGAGAACTTAAACAGCAACAATAAAATGCATCCATCAGTGATCTGTAGACAAAACAAAATCAAGAAATGATACAGAAAAACTGTGAAGTTCATTATCATCCTTTACACTGACAAATGAATAAGTATTTATTGTTATTCATAACAGTGAGATACTATCATCGATTGATGATATCAAATAGAAGAAATGCTCAGACACAAGAAAAACTGAATCAAAACAATATTTCATTCTATCGACTAAATTAATTAATTGGATATTTTGTAGTTTTTTTTTTCTCATAAATTTTGTTTCAGGTATTTTTTGCCATCAAAAACCACATATTCCATTACTTGTGTTAATCAACATTCTTATCTAGCATTGCAGAATAATTAATTATAAATAGTTTCCATAGACATTTTATTAGATGTTATATTTATCTTATGACTTAAATGCTAATAACCAGATATTGTTTTAACTTAATTGACAGAATAATCTGATCTATCAAATGTTTAACAAGCATTAGCCGATAAAAAATGTATTATTAAAAACTTCATCGTGCTTTATCTTAACATATTACTCATAGAATCTATATGTGTATTTAAATTACTAAAGTGACATATAGATGCAAACAAACTATAGTTTGAATAATGTGCTTGATGTATCATCAACAATTGATTAATATTATATAGCATAGATCTCGACATAATTTTGTACGACATTAACGAGATGATATATGGAAACAGATTGATTGACATGTCATTGAATGGAATAGAAAGACATCGACGCCTGACGGTACATATTATATTGGCTGTAAGTTAATATAATTAAAACAACAAACGCTGAAATGGCAAACCAAATATTTCTTTTTGTCCTTTTTTCTTTGAGAAACTAATCAGAATTAGATTTGTTTTTCACTTTTAATGAATATTTATTGCAGCATAATAATATTCAACTAAAAAATCAAGTTTCAAATAAAGGTAAAGAATTTAATTCAAAGAAAATTATGGAAATCTTAGATTAAAATTAATAAATAACAAAAAAAATATGTTTTCAATTTTACATAGAAAAAAAAAAACAATTAGTTTGAATGTCATACATTTTTTTTCCATCCCTTGACTTGATAATTTTTCATGTATGATGAATCATATCACGATAAAATATTTCAATTAAAAACAAAGAGTACAATCAAGTAGATTATATACATTTATGGATGAAGCTCTTCTTATGTCATATTTCTGTCTTCTCGTTGTACATGTATTGTAATGACAATATTTATCAAATAATATTGACTCGATTGTAATATTATTATTGATGTATGTATGTATTTATTGTGTACATGTATGGACAAATCGAAATTAATATACAAGACATAGACTAAAGTGAGAAGCCATAGTGAATCGTACTTCTGTTGTGTATATGTTTATGAGAAAGAATAACGACGACGGAGAACATTTGTTCTGCACTATGAAGATATAAAAGTGAATTATTTGTACATGTAATGATTAACATCAATCAATATGCGAACAAGCCAACAGACTCATTTTTTACTCATTATTATATAGTCAATAGCCTAACCTATTAATAACAACAACCACTAGCCTCAATATCGTCGTTTCTAATCGAATAATATGCTAATTGAAGCACAAGACGATGTGTTCTTGCATTTTTCTCTTAGTAAATATAAATATGTGTGTATATATCGGTCAAGATGTTTGACCTTTTTTGGTTCTTCTTGTTCATCGATTTTCTTCCTCTTTTTTTGTTATCTTCCAATGCTTCATATTATTTGTTGTTCTTTTAAATGACCAGACATCTGGTTTGAGAATGTTGATAGAAATATGTAACATAATAATACTTCCATCATATTCATATTTATTATATAATTGTTAATCATATATTTTATGGTAAGATTTATTATAAATAAGAACATGTTTGTATCATGTTTACTGTATAAGAAAGAAAAGGAAAAAAAAAGGAAAGCGAATTAAAGGATACCATCTGGTGCATTTCTTTTCAACAATCAATCAAATATTATCAAAAAGAGTCTCGTCTTTCTTTACTAGGCTTGTTACATCATTGTTTCCCATCCAGGACGCTTGCCGACACTTCCGAGGTCTCCCTTTTTCTCTGCTCTCCGTTTATGTAATCCGAGTAGTAGAGGGTGATAAGCGACGATGACAACGACAATGATGATGATTTTATTCGATCTTGAGTTTCTCTCTCTTCTGTCGCTCTTTCTCTCTCTCTCTCTCTCTCTGTGTCTTTCTCTTGGATTTGTATGGAACAGAGTCAATCACACAAGCTGCTTCTGCCTTTCGTAATAAAATACACACATACCATACAAACACATACACGAAGAATATGCTAAGGAAAAGAATAGAAAAAAAAAAAGGAAGCAGCAAACAGTTCCTATTACTACTACACAAGCACAAATGCAATGATGATGACAATCTTTTCCGAGCCTCTACCATCGGCATCTTTTTTCGTCTCATATTACTAGCTATACCCTTTGTGTATTGTCACTCATATTATTAGTTGTTTGCATTTTCTGCTTTTTCGTATACTATACAACCTTGTAGATCTCAGGAATTTGTATATGTGTCTATTAATAATGAAGACACGAATTATTATCTTCAACAGTATTATGATTTATTGAATGATTTTCATTCGACGACGGCGAACATGTCGTCAAATATTGCTTTATTTATGATCAATCATGATCATGGATTCATTGTTAATAGCTATATTATCTTATTTAATACTATTCAAATGGTACATTCAATGTCAAGACGATTCTTCATTAATATCATCAGCTACTGTTGAAACTCAATATCTTACTTTTAATATGGCTCAATATGGAATGAATGGTGGTGTTTTTTCAAGTAAATAAACATTATTTATTCTTTGTTCTTTTTATTTTTGGTTTCATTATTCTAAATTAATTCTTCTAGGTCCTAATTTTCCAAACTATTATCCACAAGATACAATATTATTTTATCAATTTATAGCATCATCTGATTATCGTGTTCAAATTGAAATAGATTTTTTTCAAATACGTGGTGTTACACCACAATGTACACATGATTATTTAGATGTATTTATAAATGTAACTGATTTTAATATTGTTTATAATACAATGAATGATCAATTACTTCATCGTTATTGTGGTCGAAATACGCCACCATTACTTGTATCATATACAAATTTACTTCTACTTGGATTTTTTACTGAAGATACACAAACAGAAAGAGGTTTTAACGGTACATTTCGTTTTATATCAGCACAACCATATAAAAATAATCTTATACGTGAACCATGTGATTATATATTTAATTCATCGATTTCAAAACGTGGTGAATTTTTTTCTTCAACATATCCAGGAACTTATTTACCGGTAAAAACATATATTAATCTATGTATATATAAAATGAAATTTTAATTTTTAGTGGCAATTTTGTAATTATTCATTTATTGGTTTACCTGGTGAACGTATTCATATTCGTTTTCGTGATTTAATGTTATTTAAAACACCTAATCAACAACATTGTCCTGTTGATTTAATTAAATTATATGATAATACAGTTAATCCATTAGAACTTCAAAGATTTTTATCAAATTTTCATCAAACAAATATTATTGATTATCAAACAGTATCTGAACAAAATGATCAACGTCATATAGCAGATCTTTGTGGTACTTATACAATGCCACTTGATATTTATTCTACAAATAATCGTTTATTATTATATTTTATTACAACACATTATGGAGAATTAACTGATGATGAACAAGCACAATTAAATGATATATCAAGACCGTTAAGAAAAGGTTTTTATGCTGAATATGAATTTTTATCAACATTAACTAAACTTAATTTTATATCAAAAAATAAATCAAATCAATATTTATTAGGTACCGAATGTGATCAAACAATTAAATCATTTGGTCAAGGATATGGTAATAATGAAAGAAATTAATTAATTTCTTTTATTTATTGTTATTATTATTATTATTTATTGATATTTAGGTGAAATTCAATCTCCTAATTGGCCATATTTGTATAAACCCCAAACATCATGTATAACTTATTTATTAGGTCTTGATGATCGTTTTACATTAGAAAATGTTGAAATTGAATTTGATCAATTTGATATTGATTGTCATTCAGCTTTATTTGTTATTTATAATGCAAGTAGAATATATGATCATCGTTTACGTACACATTTACAATCTGTATTAAGTAGTTCAAAATCAATGACAACAAAAAAATCTTCATCATTTAGTAATTATTATCAACAAGAACTTGATTTTAAAGATAATCTTTCATTTTGTGGTCATTTTAAACCTGAAGGACGTTTTGTATCTCGAAGTGCATTACTTAAATTATCACTTATTCCAAATGATCGTTTATCAGAAAAAATTTTACCATCATTAAATCATGGTGGAAAATTTCAAATAAAATATAAATTTGTTAAAAGTTATCATCAAGTACTCGCTGATGAATATGATAGAACAAATCCAAGCATTTGTAATCTTTATTATTATCAATCACGTACACTTAGTGGTAAGATAGAAAATTTGATTTCAAATCAAAATATTTTATTCATTCTAAAACAAAAAACAAAATACTATTAATCAATTCTTTTTTAGGCAAGTTTGAACCTCCACGTTCATCCGAAAATGATTATTTTGCCAATTCTAATTGTACATTTAATTTTTATATTTCAAATGAAAATTCTCGTCTTCTTATATGGTATGATTATTTTAATATTGTGGATAATAATTATATTCAATGTTCATCAGATAATTTAACATATACATATCGTTCTTACATATCATCAACGTATTATTTATATCCATATATTTATTGTGGTTATCGAAATTTTCCTTCACCATATTTAACCAGTCGTTCAACTGAACAATTTCGTATTCATTTTCGTTCCAATGATGATGATGATACTGGTTTAGGTTTTTATGGACGATATGAATTTCTAAATGAATCAAATATTTTATTTTCATCAACATGTCGAAGTCCATTTGATCCCATTATTTATATTAATGAAACTGAACAACCTTCAGGAAATATATCAAGTAATGGTTATCCAGAAAATGTTATCTGTGAATGGTCTTATACAACAACAATTGGATTTCAATTTAATTTAGAATTAAAAACACTAGATTTAGAAGGTTCAAAAACAAAAGATCCACCACAAGGTTGTCAATCATCTGTTTTAAGAATTTATAGTGAAGGACGAATTGATGAATTATGTGGACAAGAAAAAACTTTGTCATTTATTCTAACTAATTCAAATTGGTTTACATTACAATTTGTATCTTTAATTCGTCAAACACAAGAACCATTACAAGGTTTTCAATTATTATGGACAGTTGTACAAGTTAAAACAAATATAAATAATAATCAATGTTTATTATCAAATGATTATTTTGATTGTAAAAAATTTTCAAAAAATATAAATGAAACATTATTTTGTATTCATCAATCATTAAAATGTGATGGTTATGTTCATTGTCAACCATTATCAAGTGAAGATGAACTACCAAAAAATTGTTTTCAAAATTTTCCAAGACGTTTTCATTTTTTATCATCGTTAAATATACGTCAACATTATATTTTAATTATAATTGTTATTATTCTTTTTATTGTTATATTATTCATTGCTAGTATATTTATCTTTTTATTTATTAAAACAAAACGACGAAGACAAGAAGAACATTTATCAAATGAAACAAAAAGTAAAATGACTGATATTTATATACATGTTGATGATAATAATGATCAAGATTTAAGTCATATGGGTATTTTGGAACAAGCTGTAACAACAGTTTGAAAAGAAATAATATATATTAAAATCAAAAAGAATTTCTATATGTGTGCTATTCCGTCCGATTCATTTTTGTGTCATTTTATCTTGTGTAAACAAAAGAAGAAAATAAAATAAATAAACATGTCAGGTTAATTTTATGTGTCATCAATAGATAATTGCGGTAATTGACTCTCTATTTATGAAATATCAGCTCTCTCTCTGTTTCTTGTACACTCGTAAAAGATGAAACATGATTACTCCAATTATAGATATACCAAGGCATAGAAACAAACTTGTTTCTTTTTTCGACAAGGTTACGCTAATTGCATCATAATAGCTACTGGAGGATTCTAATGTCATTCCGTGTTGTGCTTCTACAATTGATTCTGAAAGGTCACGTTGCCGACAAATTAACTTATACATAGCTCTGATGTGCATTTCTAAATATAAGTCTTCATCAACGACATATGCCACAATTTAGAGAACAAATTAAATCAACTTTTTAAACAACTTATTTTGTGATTAAATTCAATTAAAACTTAACTTAGAAATTGAAAGAAAACAAGCAACGTTTTCTTTTATCATTCAGTATTGATTTGTACACTATCAAATTGAACGAATTTGTTATATGATTACTTTTTATTGGAACATTGTTTTGTTTTATATTATCTTAAAAAATTTTTTAAAATGAAAAATCTCTTTGCTAATATATTTATGCAAAACAACTTTTATATTCTTGATTTTTTTTTTTCTCAATGAAAATCTAGCTAAATAGTTTGAGTGAATAAAGTATACGGAATGAACTAGGATTAAATAGATCAATAGAAATAATAAGATATGAAAATGTTCATTTATTGACTTGCATAATTTTTAAAAATGACCAAGATCTTCAGTTGGACTATCACTAAGTTTAGCATGTACAGCAACTTGTTCTGCTTTTCCATGAGTATCTTGTTGCCATGGAACATGATAAACACGAGCTGTTGCATATTTTTTGTCAGGTAATTCAACCTATTATCAATATAGAACTTTTGTTTATGAATAACAATGAATTTTAGATGTATTTAATACCTTGAAAAAATAATTCATTCCAGCTACAACTTGTGTAGCTACTTGAACTGGTTTAAGCTTGTGACTTGTGGGTACCTTAAATTGATCTTGGATTTTTTTTTCCAAATGTTGTTTGTACTATTTGGAAAAAAAATTCATCGATTTGAATTGAAGCAAGAATAGATTCTTACCATATCCCAAATTTGTAAATCATCTTCATTTACTGGTCGAAGACCAGTGATACCTCCACACATGCGAGGTCTAAAATATATTTTTACACAATTGAAATAGTTAGATTTTTAGAATTTTACTTACTTATGTACTTCTGGTTGTTTGTGAGCAGCAGGATCTTTTTCAGATGACATAATTATAAAATCTAAAATTAGATAATAAGGGCATTTGTTATAATTATATATGATCACAAAGTCAATATTGAGTCATGAAAAACAATCTTGATGAATAAATCGAAAAAGTATGGCGACGTATGAATAATTATATCTTTTTCAATGTGATAGATATGACAGAGCATATCCTTTTTTTTATCTTTTCTTTCTTGCTCATCGTTAACTTTAACATTAATGTTTTTTTTTCTTTCTCTATTCAAAATGAAAGAAAAAAAAAACAATAACAGAGATTTGTATTTGTTTGAATGTAGCCAATACGAAGCTTCTTTCCTGTATATTTTATAGATGTGCCACTAAAACACTTCGTTATATTTTTCTTTTCTTTACTGTCGAACAACCAGCTCATTATCAAGATTATGAAATCGATATTTTCGAAACCAGAAATTCACCAGGAGTTTTGTTATTTAAATCAAGAAACTGTTTCGAAAGCTAGGAAGCATTTAGTGACGCTTTCATTTGCAAAAGCGCTTGTTAGTCTCGTCTATTAAAGCAATGATAGTAAAATTTGCTGACCAGCGATATAAATAAAAAATAAGTTTACCACTTATAGACTGATATGAACTAAAACAAATTAGATATATACAGAGTGTTTCCAGAATCTCGTCAAAAAGAAACATGACTATCTATTTAACGATGCAAACGGGTTATGTGAAATTTTGAGTTTCAGTTCATATTCAGTGATGCTTCATTTCACATAAATTTATCGCTAATAGGCGCATAAAATGATCATTCATAAATGCAATATATACAAGCTTATCATGTTTGAAAATATTTGTGGAAACATTATATAAAATTTAGTCTGAAATCTTCTTTGATCTTAGTATAGATTTTCATTAGTGATGTCAATTGAAATGAATTGTCTTTAATATTGCATTTTTTCGTAGAACTGTTCTCCAAAAATTCACGGATCTCACGGTTAAAATGCGGAACAATTTTATCTTTGTGAAATAATATGGAGTTAATCGGGTATTTTCTTCTTACTTCTGAACAAAAAAAAATGCTTCAGCCATAGTAAATATTTTCCTTCATTGATAAGGTTACTGCACAAAAAAAGCAAATTGGACTAATGCTTGTATATGCAGTACATTTTCATCATTCAGAAGAAAAGTCCACAACTGATCACATCTGATTAACAGATGTTTCTTCTGTTCGTTGTAGATATCTAGCATCACACTGTAATGTTAGATTGTTTTTCTTGTTGGTTAAACATATCTCTAGAAGTCGAGATGAAGAAAAAACAACCAAGATTCTCCAGAACACATCACGATGTTTATTAATCCTGTTCATTATTATTCAAGTCTATTTATTTAAGTGTTGGTTCTTAGTTGATAAATTTAAATGTATTATAATAAACTATTGATCAATGGATAAAAGCATGTTTTTTTCTGTTGTGCATGCGAAAAACAAAAGAAAGAATAGAGAGTTTTAATAGTTCTAATACTATTGACTTCCGTCATTGGATCATACACGATATCTTCGCAGTGATTCCAATTTATTGAAGAAAATAAGTGGTTGACAGTCAGAGATATACTCATGATCCAGGAATTTGTAATTCAAAGAAAATGAAAGGAAATCGAAGAATTGAGGACACATCAAATCAAATACTTAGACCGTCAGCAAAACTGCGGCAATCAAAGAGTTTATTAAAATGAAGAAAATTAACGGAAATTAAGGGAAATGAAAGAATTCAATGAATATCAAAATATATTGATAACATGGAGGTATGCACCTCTTAACTACCATGGAAATCAAGAAACCGAAGATAGTTAAGCAATAGAACAAAATGGGTGCCAATCAAGGAAGATGAAGGATTCGAAGAGTTCAAGAATTTCAATGAATTTTATTGTTTAGAACAGCTCCGATATCTAAAACGTTTCACTATCATAGAATTCGAGAAGTATATAGCTTTGGGCACAAGTATAGGGTGTTTCTTTTCAGCGTGAATGCGGAAATCGATGGTTTTCTCTTCCGCTTACACCCTCGCCTTCAACAGCTCATTTTCCTATCAAGTTATGTTATCAAAACAAAATTATATAATTGTTAAGTATTGTGACTTATTATAGATTTACTGATATTGTCCTAACATTTTATGGAGTATATTTCACAGAGACATAAGAGCTAGAAAAGCCAATATTACTTGTGAAGCAAATTAAATGCACAATTAATTTCTAACATCCGTGTTTAAGGAACAATAGTTGAATATGGAAACCAGATATAGAGTTTCTAAGTTTATGAAGTCCTCATTGTCTGATAGACAGCAAGACGGGAAAACCTTATTTGAAGTCAATAGTTATAAGAGTTGTAATACCACTACTATAGTGATTAGAACGCATATATAAATAATTGAGGACTACAGTTGACAATTGTACAATTAGAAAAATGAAGAATACTTCATGCTGATATAGCAGTCGATTCCAATTTCTACTAGTACCAACTTTAACATCAATTTCAAAATCCATCAAAAACATGAATCAAATGTAGAATTCTTCTCTCGTTCTCAATTCAATACAATTTATCTAGACAACTCATATCTAAGAAGCTCATTCACATCAGATCCAAAAGAGACGATACAATAAGATCACAGACGAACAAAATCAAACTGAACAGTTCCTATATACTTCAAGCCATAGTTTTCATCAAATGTAAAATGATATTCTTTTTCCTACAATTGTTATCATTTTTATCTTCATCAAACGAAATTATTCAGAATAAGCAAGACATTTATATTTTCTATAATTCTGATAGTTGAGTAAAACTTTCTAAAATGAAAGGTTAGATCTGTGAACAATTTGTGACATAATCTACCCGCGAAGTTTCAAATAAAAATGGAGTATGCTTGAGCACATCAAGAAGATTTCTTTGAACTATTACGAAAATATGAAGAGCAGCAACGCAATTTTTAGCAAAAAACTATTTCGAGAAGTAGCCTTGATATCTGATTAAAGGAAGAACAACAGGTTCCGAAAATAGCTAGAAAATTGATGAAATGATTCTCCAACAGCCCCAAAGCTGTCGATTTCGACATATTAACTTATACATTCCTTTGATGTGCATATATTAACAGAAGTCTTCATCAAAGGTGCAGCTTTCAATTATGAGAATAAATTATATTAACTTTTTACTCAGTTTATTTTCGACTATATTCAATTAAAAACTAATCTGGAAACTGACAAAAAAAGAATCAAAATTTATTTTTATTGTTAAGTATTGATCTCTACACTACCAAATTAAAAAATCCCTTCCTTAATGTATTTATACAGAAAACTAATATAATGTTATTGATTCTTTTTCAGCGAGAGTCTCGCCAAATAGTTTTAATGAATAAAATATACGGAATGAACTAGGATTAAATAGATCAATAGAAATAAAAAAATATGATANTTTTTTTTAGTGTGTGTTGATATGATATGTTACATTTGTTTACGACATAATGATCCTAATGTTGTTTCAAGTTTATTGGAAACACTTGAAATTATACTTAAATATTCAAATTGGATCCATAGAAGAAAATCGCGTTAGGGAAACCTTAAAAACAGGTAAATATTTTTTCTAAAACAACAGTTTATCCAACATATCAACGTTGATTTATTCAAATTAATGTTTGTTTGAGGCTTTATTTTATAAAGTTTTACTTAAGTAAAATAGATTTATTTTATAATCCAAAATTATTTCTAATGTTGTAACAGTAGGAGGACTTAGGTGAATGGGATCAATCTGGTAAAGGAGCTTGTGGCAGAGTTTAGTTGATGTCACTTCAATTGGTTAAAGTTTCAAAGTTTTAGTGATAGATATGACAATTTCACTATTACATGAAACATATATACTGGAATCTGAAAATTCAAGAATGAAGATTTCTCGATATTGATTCCGCAGCTCTAGTCCTATTCCTACTTTTAATTTTTTTTGAAACCGAAAAAAGACTAGAACATTATCAGACTCGAAAAGATATCAAGTAGAACACTTTACTGAATAGGTTAGATGTACGAAAGTTTTAGAACTCAGAGACTGCATTTATACATCCGAGATTGAAATTATACAATCACACAATTACCTCAAAAAAATTTGCAAGCCAAACTACGAGTTCTGTACATATTTAGTAGGAAAGAGATGTTCGGTTTTTCATTAGTCCTTGAAGGGTGTGGGTGTGGTGATTTAAGCCTTCTTATGGGATGAACCCACACCCACACCCCCACCCTCAGGCAGGCACATTGAATTGTTGTATTTAACGCGACCATATTCTTTCAGTAGACGGTTAGCGACGCTAACGTCGTGCTACTTGTTCATATTTCATTAGACACAGTCAATGATTCTATATAGATGAATATAATTCAGTAAAACTATTAGAATCATAAGTTGCAATGTCAATCGATTGTTTTGTTTTTTGCTTTTTAAAAAATAAGAAGAAACGATTGATTTCAGATATTATTGTAACAAAAGATTTAATCGTACTGAATCTTTTCAAATGTATGATAAAAAAATTCATTTTATTTGTCTTCAAAAAAATATTTTACAATTCTAATGGATATGCTGCAGAGATTTGATCATTTCATATCTTTATAGAAACTAAAACAACGTAGCTTTGAAGAATCTTAAACTGAACTTATTTTAATATGCATTCTATTGTAGTCGTGAGCTAAATTATTTTTGAAAAACAATAAAGAAATTGTTGGACAATTACAAATGCTTATGCAAGAGGTATGATTTTATTGAGAAACAGCAGGCTTTTGGATTCTCATTCGATATATAAGTACTTAGAATGTCCCTCTTCGTACAGTGGTAATTATTTCTGAGTCAACTCTATCGCTAGAAGTTTTGAAAAAGAATGTGCGTCAAACGCTGAAAGGTTAACAGCAACGTTAAATCGTCGAGAACTCATTCTTTCTAAAATCCCATTTGTTTTGTTTTCTCATTTTCTATTCATTCGTTGAATTTATAAATCAAATCGTAATCAATGTCAATTAAAAATTATCCTGATAACAAATTAATCTAACTGAAAACTTAGTGAATTTCATTGCGACGACTATAATATTTAAATTCATCTTAAACTTGAATGTGCGCAAATTCAACTATAAAATATAGGGTGTCTAGAAAGCCACTAGATATAGAGAAATTTACTTTTTAATCGTGCAATATAATAATACTTTTTTTTGTTTATTTATTATGAAAACAAACTAAAAACATATAAATCAATTTCCAATTGAATGCATGAGTTTTTTTCATTACCATGCTACACTCATTTGAGTAGAAAAATTTGAACATCTTCATGACTTTTCAATTAAATGAATTTATTTTTTTCTGAGGATAGAGGACAGATAGAAGTTTTTATTTATGAAGGAGCAGTCCATTTATGACCATGAACCAGTAAACTTTTCTTCACTACATCAGTAAACAAATTTCTCTAGGTCTAGTGATTTGCTGGGTATCCTATATGCGTAGCTTTTTTGACTAATTGAAGTTCGCTGAGACCCCATGCGTATTTATTTTTATATGGCTCGCTGATGACATTTAATCGAACCATGTCTTTTTCACGCATGCACCCAGGTCGAACAAGCACGGTCGTAAACGATCGTATACTGAGAAAAATATGGTCGTTTACGATTTTCGTATACACAGGCCGTATACGGTCACGACGATATACGATCGTAATATTGAGTCATGTATTACGGTAAAATACCACTGTAAATGGTGGCATCGAGGACGTATACGAAGTCCGTAGTCGTCGACTTGAACGTTGGCGACCGTATTTGTAGGGCACTTATAAGATCAGTCAATCATACATAATTATTCTTCTAATGAAAGACAGTTCAAAGTATACGGTTGCGGCAAAAATTATTCGTACAATTTTGGTTTTGATCAAATATAATCGTAAGGCCATTTTAATATTTGATAGATATTATAAGAACCGTTACGTCTTCTAGCATTTATATTATAAAAATCAGGATTGTTCACTGAGTCTATATAAAATGAGAGGTCAATCTTTGAAAATCATGCATGCTTTCTCAGCCAAAATTATTCGTACGACATTAATGATGGTGAAAGTTGTTCTTTTTTTGAATTGAAAAAAATTACTTTTAAAGTTATGAGACGTAGGAAAGAACAAATTAAACGTTCACAATTTTTTTGAGGCTCAATATCCTAGTTTCCTTAATTCTTACTGATATTATTCACGCATGTTTATCATCATTTTTCTTTTTGAAACAAATTACGTCAACTATCGAACTTTTGTCAATAATAGTTATTAGATTATTTTGCTTCCTCTTTGCTACGTTTTTCTTTCAATGCATTCCTTCTTCTACCCTTTTTTTCGAGAATATTAGAAGATCCCTTTGTGTTTTCTCTCTATGCTCACTTTCTCTTGGAATGATCCAAGAAGATCACAGATTAAAAGAAAGAATCAAAGAATGTGAACAGAATAACACAAATGTCGATAAAAGCGAAGTGTGTAAAGTCATTTAAGATGTGTGTCTAGAACAGAGAACATTCTTAGTTTATATTGTGTTCTCCTATGCGTATTCGAGGTGACTTAGTCTCTATTGAAGAAATAATGACTGGCGAAGTATTCAAGGGCATTTTGTCGAAGTGTTTACTTCCACTTGTCAAATATTTACATATGCTAAAAAAAAATTATTTTACAGATGGATAATGATTCAAAACACAGCGCTCAAAACATGACAGAATGGATTAATTCTATGAGTATTGAATATTCTTCATGGCCTTCTAGTTCTCCTGATTGAAACCTCATAGAACACTTGTGGGCTCATATGTTGAACGAGAACTTCAAAAATAACCAGTAACGAATCTGAAAGAGCTGAAAAAGAATATTCCACGGATTTGGGATCCAATTGGATCTAATGTTACAACGAAGTGTGGTTGACTCAGTAGGAAGCCGGCTACAAGAATGCATCAAACAGAAAGGACAACCCGTACGGTATTGATGTTATTTACCATCTCAAGATAGAATTTAGTATCTATGAGCAACAACTTTTTTGTTGACTATTTGATAATAAAGTGCTGATATTATACTGAAATATTTTCTTGAAAAATGTTCTAGTTTCAAATTTTCTCATGAAGGTGTTTCAAAATGAAGACTCAAGGTTTTTGAATAACGAACTGTCTTATTCAATAGAACCACAGAACAAACGAAATATTACGAACTTGTCACTCAATCTTTCCTACATCTAATGACTTTAAAACTAAATTTTTTCAACTCAAAAAGAGAAAAATTTTTAGTCATTGATAGTGAACGGATAATTTTTGCCGCAATTGTAGTCTCATTATAAGCTTCATGCTTGATCAAAGTTTTCTAAGACTATATCATTCTTTTCATTTCTAACATTTAATAGAAAAACATGATTGCTTTCCAAGCATATAAATATATTGAAAGTCATCCAAATTCTATTTCAATGCATAATAGAAAACACACATCTATTTACAATAAATTCAATTCTCATCTAATTGAAGACAAATGGATTATTTATAGCCTACTCAACGTCTACAGAAGCTATGCCCGTGATTAACTAAACACTAACTCTATCGGGTTAGTATCAAGAAGTAAATGTTCAACAAAACGAACGCAAGTTTTTTTGTGCAAATACTTCTTTTCGAACTAATAATTTTTCTTTTGTCGTCTATAGTAAAAATACATTATGAAAATTTCTGATTCTTTTTTATTTTATTTGTTTCAAAATAACGATTTTTCGCAATTACATCTATGAAAAAACATTTATGTTTGATAATCTAACCAAAATCAATTCAAAATGTTCGTTTTTATCTTTCAATGAAATGAATGTCTTTTTTTCTTTTATTTAATTATTGATCCAATCTCACGGTAAAAAGAAAAAAAAAACAAACAAAGCAAAAAAAATCCTATATATACATATAAAACTAGACAGGAACAGTTTTTATTTTATTACTCTGTCGATGTGCATATGGTAATGCTTCACTTGGTTTTAATTTTAAGTTGGCCATTGCTGGATCACCACCCATTAAAGCCAAATGCTCTGTTCCTTTACTTTCAAAAAATGTATAAGATAAACTAATATCATGAACACCTTGTAAACTAGGATCTCGAACAAAATCTGGATCAATATAAAAAAATACGGGCATATCAATTTCTTCACCCGGTTCTAAACGTTGTTCTTCAAAACAAAAACATTGAATTTTATTAAAATAAAATGCTGCTTGTGATGGTTGTACATTATATGTTGCTATACCAATAATTGGTCGATTCGATTCATTTTTAGCTCGATAAAAAGCTAAAGCTGTTTCACCTGGTTGAATTGTAATGTCTGGTTGTTCTGGTTCAAATGTCCACGGTAAAAGTGATGACGGTGTAGATGAAAAATGTATTCGTATTGATGGATGTGATTTATTTAATCGTTGAGATAATTGCCTAACATTTGCTGAAACAGTCTCTTCGTCTTCAGCTTTTCTTATAACTCCATCAAAACCTGTTGCTTCACAAAACATTTTATACAAAGGTACAGATGCATAAGTTAAACCAAGCATTAATATAGCCACTGAACTCAAATAAAGTGCTATATTAGCACGACGGTTTTTTTCATCACGTTCAAATTGTTTAAAAGATTTTTCAAAGTCATTTTTTTCATTTAAATTCGGTTTTTCTATATGATTATTATTATTTAATGATGATGAAAAACGTTTTAGAATTACAGAAGATGATGATAGTAGTGGTACATGAATATGAAGAAAATTTTTCAACAGAAATGGACGTACAATATGACGTGATATTAAAAGATTCATGAAAATCTATAAATAAAAAAACAAAATACAGCTTGTTTGATTGAATGAAAGAAATTCTTTTTTTTTGTTATATAATATTTCTTTCTACCGATATAGATTTTATCGGTTTCATGTTGTTTTCTTTTTATTTCGATTCTTATTAACCTAAATTTTTGGTTACAATAACAAAAGAAAACATTCATTTCTCTTTTTTCGGTTTTTTCTCATCTTCAGCTGCTTGTTTAGCTTTCTTTTCACGTTGTCCAACTAATCTTGCATCAGCACGTGCCATACGTAAAGCTTGAAATGCTTGAAATTTCGTATCAGCATCATTAACTGGTCGGGCTTTTTCACGTGCTACACGTCGTCTAACTGGCATAACACGTGTTTTAAGTTGTACGGCTAATTTAATTTCTTCTGGTTTAGCATCGTTCTTCTTCGGTTTATCGGCTTTCAATGGAAATAGAATAAGTTTGCCAAGATATTGTTTCAAACGTTGAACATTGAGCTAGAAAAAAAACAAATGATATTTGATAACGTTCAAAAAGTGAAAAATTACTTGAAAAGCTTCAGTTGATTTATTGCGTCGTCGATGATCAATAGAAATACCGATTGTTCGAGCATATTTTGGATGAAGACCAGCAGCGCGTACTTCATCTAATGAAAATCCACGTCCAGCACGAAGTTTCATATTATAACGACGTGTTGTACCATGCACAATTGGACGTAGTGAACCTTTAGCTGGTCGAGGAGCAACATGTTGAATTTTAGCTAAACGTTTTCGATGACGTCGTTCTTTACGACCTGCTTGATCAAACCAAGTGCGAACATGCAATTGCCACTTTTTATGAAAGTGAGCATTTGGTATGACGTTGTTATGTTTCATTGTCAGATGTCAATCTAGAAAAAAAAATATAATAAATATGTTGAATTTATTTTACTCGAATCGATGGTATAAATATTCAAAGTCCTCAGATCTCATAATCAATATCATGTGAGCCCACATACATAAGGCGAATGAACTGCTGCTTAAACGAAAAAAAAAATTTTTTTTTTTTTTAAATAAAATTTAAGTAGTTGTTCATTCGTCTCACGCTTTAAATGCTCTTCAATTGTCATTTATCATCATCGGACTCTATCAAGAATAATTCTGCATCAGTAGAAGAATTTCTCTTTCAAAATAAATCAGACTAATCTGTCTTATATAAATTTACATCATATGCAGAGTTTTTTAGAAAGAAAAAAAATTTTGAAAATGAATGGATTATGTTTATCTGTAAAGATTTTATAGCAATAGGTAAATTATGGATTGAGTGTCTATTTGATCGGAGGAATTCACTTATAAAGATATTATTGAAAATATAAAATATAAACAAATAGAAGTTTTATTTTGATTAAAATAAGAAAATCTTTTTTAATTTTAATTATTTTTTCTCATTGAATTGTTTATAACAAATCAGATTATAGAATGAGTCATCTTGTATATGGTTCTGTTTTTTTCTCTTCAACCCTTTCTTTAGTAATATTCTATAGTATACGTTATATTACGTATTGAACTGTTTTTCTAATGTCATCAGACGAGAACGAAGATTTTGAACCTCTTGTTGTTCTTCAATTTTCATCGTCAACACCACGTGCAACAAAAGAATGGGTTATCCAACGATTAACCGCAAGTCATAACGATGATCAAGGTGCAGGTTTACTTGCTCGTTATGACACTAGTCCAGAAAGTGATGTACGATTTATCTTTTTCTTTCTTTTAAAACTAAATTTGATTTCTTATTTTATAGAATAATATAATTCTAATTGGTGCTACTTTAAGCCGTTTATTAATTGGGGCAGAAGAATTACGTATTAAAAAAAAATATAAAAATAAAGGCTTAACTGAATTTCTTATTTCGGATATTGATCGTTTTGAGGGTTCAGGTAGGAATTTATTATAATTAAATAAAAAGAAAAATTTTTGATTTTATTAGAAAACCCCGAAAATCTATTGCTTAAATCAGAAAAGCAACGAATAATTTGGGAAGAAATACAAAATTTACATTCGATGATACATGAACATACTGTACCAGGTGTACCAACTAAGTCAATTTCACCTAAAAATGATACTATTCGTATGTAGAAAGATTTTTTTGAAAAGCAAAAGAATTTATTTTCTATATTGATTAGTTGATATTCTTCGTGATCTTGATTTTATTGCTAATATTTTCCCATTACATGATAAAGAAGAAATTAAATTAATTGAACATGATTGGTTTAAATCAATGCGTTCAATATTTCAACCACAAGATATTCGTAAGACAACAAACTCATTTCAATTATGTCTAATTATATGAATTATAGATAAAATTCGAAATTATTTTGGTGAAAACGTAGCTTTTTATTTTGCATTTGTGGAATTTTATACATATGCACTTATGCCAACAGCTGTTTTGGGTAAGAAAAGTTCATAGTAACTTTTATTTCATGTGCATGAAGTATCTGAGGCAAGAAAGCCATTTGTTATAGACATATCTTGAGCTCTTTTGACTAGCTCAAGCGCATATAAGAACGATCGAAAGTGAAATACCATATGAAAAAAAAGGTACAGACTGCACAGATCTGTAGCATAGACACAAGCTAGTAATAATAATACTTCATTGGATCTCATCATCTATCACAATTATGGAAGAAATATCTGTAACGCATGAAGTCACTTTTAATTAAATGCTATACGCTTGTTCTCACACACACATCTACATTCATTTTTCGCAACCATGAAAATAATATTTGTGATGCGTAAAATTAATTTTAATTATATTTTATATGTGTTTTTCTTCAACTGTATGCAGAAAAATGATTCGATTTCTGATAATAATTCACAGTTTAAATAACACAAATTATAATAGACAGCTTGAATGATGAGAAGCATTTTTTGGTCTAGAACAGATTTTATTTTATTATTTTATTCTAGTTGATCGTTCTAAAGATGCTCATTCGTGTCACTTTCATGCGTTCAACGTATGAATTGCTGTAAATGTGCACATAATTCATGCAAATACTCAAGAGATTGCCTATGAAAAGAACGTTTTGTGCTACGGGCACATCTTGAGGGCACCACATGAAGAAAAAGCTCGCCTTGGATTTTCAGTGCTATATTTTTGTAGTGCACTCAATTCATTTTCAATATCATGATTACGATTATCTAATAATATATAGGTAAATAGTATTATTTTGGATTGAATCAATATATTGAAAATGAATTGGTTGATTCGAAATGTCTATTTATTGATTATTTTACATTATTAATAGAAAAACTATCTTGATTAAGTAAATAGATAATTCTCATTCACTCTATATGAGCGATGCAGTTCATTATGTTTTTTTTGCCAAAAACAAAATTGAATATCTATGTTAAAATTTTATTGAATTAATTGATTTGTTTTATGAATAAAAAGAAAACAGTGTTCATTGTTCAGATATTCAAGACACTGATTTACAACAATGAATTTTAAGATATCTATGATTAGTCAGATCTTCGGATTAAGATATGCAAAAATATATGTCCATGAAGAATTTTCTGTTCCAGTATGTGTTTACCAAACTGATGTCGGAATTTATATTAGTCTCACCAGGTTTGTATTGCACTTTATCAATTAAAATGACTTAATAAATATTAAATTACAACACTCTTTTATTGTGAAGATCATTTCGTTATAATATATCAGAGCATAATGATGTGAGACTTTGTACTTATTTATTTCTAATCCAGTACAATCAACTATTCAAGTTTCAAAAGAATTTGACCTTGATGTGTGTAAGAGCAACGACTTTGAGAAACATTTCAGAACTTGTGAAACATTGTCGATGGTCGTGCAAGTTTTAAAAAAAGCAGAATGAATTCGACCGAGAACAAAAACCGGCTATTCTTGATGAACCAACAGATAGTCGGTCTATCTTATTTACTTTCCTATTTCTATCATATCAGTTTATTCAAGACTTCTATTGTTCGTAAGACTATTCTGTAGAAGTTATATGATGAAATTTTGTTATTATCTAGTATGCTTGCTTTTAAAATAAAATATACCATACGCTACAGCGTGAAAAGCTCTACTGTTTACAAAGAACAGTTTATTTTATATATTGTACGTTTTGTTTTTAAAACGCACTAAATTCTCTGTGATCCATTTTCGACGCTGCTAACATAATCTTTCCTATATCATCAGAACGTGTTTATGCTTCAAATCAACAAGAGGCAGAAGAACGAAGAGACATAAACCAAAAGGTTGAATAGCCAAAGAAAGAGTTATGATGTGGTTAGGAGCTGTTGAAAATGGGTATACGTCTCTATTATATTTTGTTCTATTGAAGTATTATCACATGAAAATTACGTATATTAAAATACTGTATATACATCAGGAATCATTGATGTGATGTGAAGAGAATTTCATGCACTTTATAAATAATTATAGATTGACACGAAACAGTCCCCGACCTCGATATTTTGAATGATTATGTGCGAGACGCCATAGCCAATACTATACAATGGAATAAAGTAAAAAATTATGATTAATTAATTTGTGAAATAAGTAAAGGAATTCATTGTGTATTAATCAATGATCTTATTTTCAATATCGAAACTTGGTCACATAGAATTTAATCCATTTAAAAAAAAATGTATACATAAACTAAACTGTTCTTGGTTAATTGTAGAGCATTTCATACTGCGTCTTGTGGTATATTTTGTTTTTAAAATAAACATACTAGATGACAAAAAAGAGGACATACAAAATTTTTATGATCGATTCGAATGCTGCAAAGATGGCATCTGTTATCAGCCGGTCGCTGATAGACTGGCTGCCGATCCGGTTCTATCCAGAGTTCTCCATTAAGGAAGGAGATGAGCGAGCGTCCCCAAATGTTCGACTGAGTACCAGTTTTTCAGATTTGTGCTAACTTTGGATAGAAGTCAGATTTTGAAACATCATTGATCTTTCCCTGACAGACAAGGAAATAAAAATAAGCAGATAATGTCATCGAAAGTTGCATAGGATAGAAACAGCCGAGTAGCAACAGATCGTCTATTGTGAGAGAGGTTGAGTTTCGATTGGTTTTGTTCTACCCCTCTAGTCATCACTGCTAGCACCTCGAGAATGAAAGTACTGGCTGCTGAATTTTTAGTCCCTACCATCCATAAAAACTATCGGCAACCTTGGCTCTATGTCTGTAGTGAGTGAAGATCATTGCCTCGACATGACTGAAATGTTCATTTGTAGTCATTGAACATCAAAAGTACATCATAATTCTTTCTTAAGATTAAATGTAGCAATTCTACTATGTGATCATTAATAAATTATTCAAATCTTTCATACTATCATGCAAGTGACTTCCTATCTCTTTTTAACTTAAAAATACATTCATCTCGTTGGTTCTAATTAATGTATGTATTTTTCTTGAAGGTCTTCTGATCAGTTTTTCGTCAAATTCAGATTTCTTTAAATATTCATCACTATGTATTTTTAATGTTATTTGGTGGACAATAGTTGTAAGTAACTGTTCGCTATTGTTTTAATTATTCACAAAATGAAACAAAGTAAAATATAGATGGAACTATGGAAAAATTATACAAATAAATTAGCTTATCAATGGGGTACATTAGATATAGAAATATTTGAACGACCTCGTTCACTTTATTATGGAGATCCACAACTTTCTCCAATTACAAATCAAGAAGAACCGCATTATCCATCGTAAGAATAAAAAACGTAAATCTATTATTTTATTAATTTTCTTGTTGGTTTTATTTAGATGGAAACATATATTAAAAAAATATTTAATTAGTTATCCATTAATGATTGTATGTTTAGCTTTATCATTAGCAATGTATTTTACTTATTGTGACATACAAAAATCAACAGACGAAAAATATCCATTCGATGGTTCATTATTATTTATTCATGCAAAATCAATTCGAATGGCTCCATCACTTGGCTATTCATTGTTGATTGGGCCAGTTAATTTAGCGTATAAAAGATTAGCAACATTTTTAACAGATATTGGTAGGCAGAAGAATTTTCCTTCTAAAAAAAAAACGATTTCTTTTTTGTTTTGTAGAAAATCATCGTCTTCAATCATCCTATGAAAATAATTTAACAGCGAAATTATTCATCTTTTTTTTTATAAATTGTTTTATTGGTTTATTTTATCAATCATTTTTTAATGCTAACTTTGAAAATGTCACACAAGTAAATGATTCATTTAAATCTTTTTTTAAATTTATAAAAAACAACAGTATTCATTTTAGTTACTAACATCAATGGTTATTGTTAATGCTATTCTATTGAAGGTTACTGAACAAATTGTTCCATATTTATTGAAGCGTCAGAAAAAGAAACAATTAGTTGAACATCGAACAGCTGCTGATGCTCATGTTAGCTATGCTGTTAAACAGTTAAAAACATCAGTACCATTTCAAGTATGTTTTAATATAGGATATATTATCTTCAATATCTGTATTATTTTTATAGGGAACATATGGAGATTATTTGACTATATTTGAACAATATGGTTATGTAGCTTTATTTTCAGCAGTAAGTTAAAGATGACATTATACTGGAGGAGAATAAGTGAGACTTGATCTATTTCAACCATAATTTGAAATAGATTTAAATAGGTGTAATGAATTGTTTTTAAATTGGTATAACGACAGTGAAGGTTTAATAACTGCTTTAGTCATGATATGAAAAAAAAGCGATAAACACTACTTATTTTCTTAATCTTAATGATGAACGGATCACTTAACTGTTAATATTAACTTTAAATTTTCGTATTAATAATTGGTTTATTTTGATATCAAATGATTATGTGGTTGAGGTATAGATCAGAGATGGGATCGGTACCAATCGTTAAAAATCCAGACCAGTTCCATCTCTCGTAAGGGTAATACTATTTCATTTCGATTGAGAAAGGCCTATTTGTCAAAATTAACAAAAATTGACTAACACTCACAAGATAAAGAAGTTCAATGCTAATAGCATTCGACAATAGAATAGAAAAACAAAAGTAACGGAGGTAATTTTTGTTAGCTATCATATATTAAGAATGATTCTTTCATTTTTCTGAAATGATCTGAAAGTAACGATGGTAAATGTTTTTTAAAGATATAATGTATATGAAATTAGATCACCATGTTCCACGAAAGTCAGAAGGAGAAAGGTGATAGTGCAGGGAATAACATACGGTCCATCTATCACGTAAGATATGTTGATGGTGTTTCTATCTAATGCATTGTGTACCAAGATTTTAAAAAAACCGTACAAAGTAGTTTTCAGATCTTAGAAGATTTTGTCGAAACTACTTTTTAACAATGCTATTTTTACAGAGCACAAAGTTCTGATGAAAATGATATTGTTAAAAAAAGAACTCGGACAAAGTCTTCTTGGCTCTGAAAAAAACTACTGAATTCGGCATTTTAAAAACCTTATCATTGTAGTTCATTGGTAAAATCTTGGTATTGAATGCATTAGATAAAAAGTTCCATTCACTATTAAAATCACTACCTGGACTTGAGCCAAATGAAACTTGATTAAAAACTTTCGATATCAAGAACTACGAATGAATAGATGTATTGTAGAAATTTTCTAGTTTGTTTTCTTTGATAATAATATATCTATTTAATGCGTTTTAGTTCATTTTTCCAAAAAGCTTAGCTATTTTCTTGATATAGGATTACTTTGAGTGAATAAATCGAATTCATAAAATGTTTATAAAACATTTTTTTATATCTTTTTTCGTGTTCGAAAAAAGTCAAAATGAAATTCTATTACTCTTACTTCCTTTATTTCAGTACTTAATTTCAAGTAAATAAATTATTAAAAGAAAAAATTTTAAATTAATCATCATTTAACTATTCAATTAATAGTTAACATAAAATAAATAAAAATGTCTCATTCATATATGAAGTTTAGCTTTTTCTATCCAGGATTCATATTGAAAGAACTATTTATTGTGATATAAAAATAATTGATTTTATTTTTCAATCATTTCTTAGGTATTTCCTTGGGTAACAATTTGTGCATTAGTAAATAATCTATTTGAACTTCGTGCTGATGCTTTTAAATATTGTCATGTTTATCAACGTCCATTTGCTCAACCAAGTTGGAACATTGGCAGTTGGCATTATGCTTTCGATATATTAAGTTCAATAGCAATTGTTACTAATACAGCATTAATTGCAATGCAACCATCAGTTCGTGAATATTTTTCATCATATACTGATGTAGAATATATATTAATTTTTGTTGCTGCTGAAGTATATATAAAATTTAATAGAGTTATTTTCTTCTATAATATGTTATATTTAATTTAGCATATACTTTTGGCAATAAAATTTGCTATTGATTTTGCCATACCGGATGTACCGTATGAAGTTCAAATTGAAAGAGTTAAAAGTCTCTATGAATCAAATCAAGCTTTGAGACGCCAAGTAAGAAAAAGAAATATTTATAACTTGTCTTTTGATCTAATATGTGTTTGTTTAATAGCGTGCAAATAAAGCATTACAAGCTCAAACATCAATAACCAAATTTTAATATATTATTGATTATTTTTTAAACCTGCATGACACTACCTTTGCCTCTATTTTAATCAATTTCTTTGAATTCAACTTTTTTTTTGTTTTTAACAAATAATTTTATGTTTTTACCTTTCTTAAAATATCTTTTTTCATGACAGAAGCATATATTTTATTTTCATGAAAAAATATTATTTGCATGCCAAAATCGTTTAGTATTAGGTGCTTTCTAATAAAAGCTCAACATATAATATTTTATGTTTTCGAATGTTTTTTTTTTAAATAAAGATAATCATTATACAAGAATTATTTTCAACAAAACATTTTTTTTTCTTTTATTTGCTTTTCAATCTAACGAGTGACGATTCCCAAGTGTGAGTCTGCATTTTCTATCAATTTTGTGTCAATTTATAGAGTTAGATGTACTGATCACGATGACATAGAACGTTCTTCTTCCCTATAGACTGCCTTTGAGGAGGTAGGCCGATCTGGACGTGAGAAAAAATTACTTTTAAGCTTGTTAATCCTGAAACCTTAACTTTTATGTTATTTTAATTCTCAGCATTCAAAATTTCAATACTGAATATGCCTTAATTGACTGTCCATATCGACACAATCAACATACATAAAAATTCAACCCACGTCTATGGTTTGAATATTTCAATGTCATTCATATTGTAGATATACGAAATTCAACTATTTTTTTTTTCAAAATATAATTGTATCTTCATCTATTCAGTATATATATTAAAAAAACATGTTGATCATGTTTTCAATAATCTGCTTTATCTATTACACTTTTTTATGTAAACATGCAATCAAAACAACTAAATAGAATGCAGACTATTGAAAACAAGATACCTGACAAAGATCTAATTACTACGTCTTTGAGATAGTGTTCTCAAAGAATTATAATCAGCTTTCAAAAAAGAATTTGAAGTTGGCACATCTACGGTATTAATGCTATAGAAATATTTAAAACATAGATGTTGTTAATACTTGTATGTAAGTTGATTTTATAGATGTGTACAGTCAATTAAAATAGATTCAGCATTAAAATTTTGAATGCTGAAAACTAAACTATTTAGTATCAAAAATGTTAAAATTTTAGAAATAACAGCTTTCAACGATTTTTCTGAAGTTAAGATCAGCCTAGTTGTTCAAAGAAAGTCTATGGGGAAGAATGCAATATGCCATCGTGATCAGTACATCGAGCTCTACAAACTAACATAAAGTTGATTGAAAACGACGACTCACACTTGGGGATTTTTCTCACGTAGATAAAACTTAAGGTCATGCAATCACAGGAATGTCGTTGTAATTTATTCAGAAGTATTTTTCATAATTATTGACTGAATCAATTAGGATATATTCTTTTTATTTAAACACTCTATTAATTTTTGTTTCTAGAATTATATTAAAAAAATATGAATCGCGAACAAATACTTGAACAATTACAAATAATGATAACTGAATTACCATCGTAAGATAATGTTTTATATTTTATTCTTTAAATTTAGATTAAATCTGATTATTATTCATTTAGAAAATTACAAGAACGTTTCGAAAAAGACAATCTAAGTGATAAATTGGTAGCATTATTACTTGATGGAACTATATTTAATATTGTTAATAATCTTCAAGAAAGTCAAGCACGTACTGAAAAAAATTTATTTAATGAACGACAAAAATTAATTAAAAAAGCTAAAGGTAATTGATTATTATTATTATTATTATTTGAAAGAAAAAAGAAACACAAATCTTTCTTTTTTGTTTTATTTAGATCAAGAAACTGATTTAATTCGAAAACATTCTGAAGATGAAGCTCGTTGTGCTGATAGGCCACAACATTTAAATCTCCTTCAAGCAGCAAATAAACGTGAATTTGAAGTATTTAATTTTTTTATTCGACTATAACGTTTGAAATATAAATTTTTATCAATTCATAGGCATTTCTTAAACGAGTTGCTGATGAACAACAACGTTTTGATATGTCAATAGTTTTAGATCTTGATCAAAAAATGTTAGAACAACAAACAAGATTAGAAAAAGTTGGTGTGCCATGTATGCACGCTACTAATAAACCATTAGATGTACGTCTACAAATGTTTATTATCGAATTCATTCAACGAATAGCAAAACAACAACATATGTCTCCTGTAACAGAAAATTCCAATTAATGCATATATATATATATATATGTTGTACATTTCATTGGTTATGTGAATAAATGCTTTCAATTAATTGTCTATAAAAAATAAAATAAAATAAAATTAGTAAATTTTAATTGATCAATATTGTTTTAGAACAAAGACTATACACTTTGTGCTAGAAAATAAAGATTAACTGCTAAAAAGAATACAACAACATAAGAGACAACAACAAAAAGAAAAAAGAACGACAAAGAAAAAAAAGACGAAAAAAAGAATGTATAAACTCATTGAAATGGACGGATTGATTGATCCTTTTTTTTTTTTGTTTTTGAAGTTATTATTATGCTGATTGTCCAGCAGCAAATCGTAAACGTTTATTTTTTTGTCGTTGATTACAAAACCAAACACGTACAACATTCTTTTTTAAATCAAGTTTATCGGCTATTTGTGCAATACGTTCACCACTTGGTCTTTGTTGTTGAAGAAAACATGATTCAAGAAAACGTTTTTCTTGTGCTGCAATCGATGTACGTTTTCGTTTTTTATCAATTAAACTTCCACTTGAACTAATATGTCCACTTATACCAATCATTGTTCCATTCATTTCATCTTTTTTTCTTTGTCTCATTTCTGCTTCAGCAAATTCTAACCAAGCTTGTAGAACAGGTTTTAATGCAACCATATTATTGTGTGATAAAGTAAGAGATTCAAAACGACATATTGTCGATTGTGATAATGATCCAACACCAGGCATTTTTAATTTTGATAATTGTTGTCCAACATCAGCTTGTGTAACACCTAATTTAATTCGACGTTGTTTAAAACGTTCAGCAAATGATTCAAGTTCACGTGGATCAACATCAAGTTCATGTGGTGGTACAAGACTACCAACAACACTATGATGATGCATACCAACAACCATGCTTGGTAAAACACCAACAGCAGCTGCAGCATGATGATGAGCTACAGCAGCATATTGACGTTGATAAAATGGATGTAAATCGGAACTTAATTGACTATGATGATTATGTTGATTTTGATCAGATAAAAGATGAGATTCAATTGATGATGTACCAGGATAAACATTTGTTGATGATGATGCACTTGCTGTTGCCGATGAACAAGCAAATGGTGATGGATAATAAAGTGATGATGATTCTGGTTTTGTAAATGCTTCAGCTTGACGAAGAAAATTATCATCAATAGTTGGACAAAATAAACTCTATTTGAAAAATAAAAATTTTTTTCTTTTCTTTTCTTTTCTTTTCTTTTTTTTTTGTTTTCATTCAATACTACTTACATTGGCTTCAAGTTTAAAACTATCACCGAAACAATTCGATTTTGACCACTAGAAAGAAAAAGAGAAAGGAAATGTTTCTATCTTTGTTTTTTTTTTATGAAAAAAGAAAGTTAAATAATAACATACCGGTGTACTTGGCATATATCGTCGATTATTAGAATCACTTGTAACAGCAGCTACAGCAGCAGCTCTATAAAAGTTACTGGGTGAATATCGACTATTGGTATTTCCAATTGAATTTGAATTTGTTATTCCTGTTGATGTATTTGGAAATGAATGTTTACTTGCTGTTACTGATTCAATAGATGATGTATTTGTATTCGTAAGCATTTTATTTATAATATTCATTTGAATTAATCAATAATTTACTTGTCTGTTAATTTTTCATTATTATTATCAATGAATCGAAATAATTCTTGGCAAACTTCAATGATTATATATATATAGATATATATATATATCTTTGTTGATGTTGTTTTATGTATGTACTAAATAATAAATAAATATATACATAGTTAAAAAGAAAAAAGAAGAAACGCATTCAATCATAATAATTTATCAATATTCATTCATTCACTCACATAAGAGAGAGAAAGAGAAAGATATAATCAATGTGTTGAATATTTATTGTTGTTGGTCTTTGCACTACTACGAGTTTCTTTGGTCGTGATAGTGAAGGTATGAGTTTTTTTCTTCTTCTTCTTCTTCTTCTTCTTCTTCTCTTATGTGTTACTGCCGCTCGTTCCGTGAGTGATTAATGATAAATAAAAAATGAGAAAGAACCCTTTCTCTGCGATTAAATATGAGAGAAAGAAAAAAAAAGAGGAAAATTTACCTGCAAACAGAGAAGAAAAATTCTTCTATTGGTTAAATATTTTTCTCTTCAACCAATGAACAAAAACATAACATTCATACATCTGTCTGTCATCTTTAACAGAGTAAGGAGAGAAGATTTCCCCAAGCGCAAGCGACACGCAAGACGACGATCAGTTAGATGTTCTTTCTCTATATAAGTATTATCTTTTCTCTTGCTTTAATTCAATTGAATTTGATTCTTTCGGTTTTTTTTTGTTGTCGGGCAATGAGATAGGTAATAGAAGAAAAAAAAAGAATGATATAAATAAGTTAATACTCGTAAAAGCCCATTTAAACAAATGAACGGTGCACAATAAGCATCATCAACTATTCACGGTATTTTCTATTCTTTTATGTTGCTTCTCTCTGCATGTTAAATAAAGAATATGTGAACACAAAAGAAAGAAAAAAAAACGACATTTACATCTTTCATCAGGTTATTTTTATATTCAAAATTAACAAACAATAAAGATGACGAAAAAAAAAAAAAGATAATTTATTGAGTGGTGCGTATATTGAATTTATTAAAAAACAAAAAAAAAAAAAAAGAAAAGAAAAGAAATGACTTAGATTAATTATCTAATTAAAGATTAAAATATTAAGAATATTTTATTTGTACGAATAGTTCATATAGATATTATTTTACAAGTTAATCATTTTCTTTTTCCAATTTTATTTGATATGTACTCATCATTTGCCTCTTTGATCTTA